GGCAGTGTTGAGGACAACATCCTGGATTTGAAACAGCATGCACACTGCAGCAACAATGCTGGTAAGGTCAGGCATAAGCTCGATGGGTCCAATGGTTTGGACGAAGGCTTCCCACGCATGAACAGTCACTTCACACACAATCCAATGCTCCTGCCACAGAATGAACACAATGAGGTTGCTGAAAGTCTCAGGAAGGCATTCCAAGCCTGCGAGGTAAGATACCTGAAGCAACTCAGGTCTCCAAACAGCAGGTGGGCAGAAGCAGACCTGTGGGAACTGCCACCGAAGCAAGTCCAGGGCATGATCAAGCACATCCGAAGAAAGCCAGCCAGGCTGCTGAAGGCATTCAAGGAGTCTGTGGTGGACAGGGTCATGCCGAACAGGTTCTGGTTCCGGTTGTTCTGTTGATCCCAGTGTTGCTTCGAGTGGTGCTGGATCCTCCGGGTGAGGTGGCTGAGACGTTGGCGGTTGCGTCTCAGGGGTCAAGGTCTGGGCTCGGAATTGGACTGATAATGGTACCGGCACGACCGACGAGGTCTGGGTGGCCGTGGCAGCGAGATGTGTGAGGAAGTGTGTCCTCAAGTTGGTTGCAAAGAGGAGTAGGCCATCATTGGCGCCCGCTCTTCTCCAGTCTTCTTGGCCGGATTCCCAAGCCTCCCTGATTTCGGCTCTTCGGGTTGGCGGCAGCTCGTTGAAGAGCTCAACAGAGCTGGGAAGCGTATCGTGGATGCGGCATATTCTGTAGTAGCGAAAGAGCAAGAACCAGCCGCAGAGATGTTCTGGTGGTAGCCCTGCATGGATGTGTTGCTGGGCACGGTGTGGAGCGATATCAAGGAGGCGGCGCATGATGATGATGGCTCGATTGGCGAGCGGTGGAGTTAGCCCGAAAGCGTGGACCTGAATGAGATTGCCAATCCGGTTGACTTCAATGGAGGCCCAGTGATTGTCGACAAGAATTGCCGTGACCGTTCTGCCTGCACTTGCAAATCTGGGTTCTCCGTAGAGCTCATCATCAAATTCGTGTCCGTCAGAGTTCCATCGCAGGAGGTTGAACTCAGCAATGGTCTCGGGGAAGTGCCTGGTCAGGTATGTCATGGCGGAGTGGAGTTCATCCGATGCAACCCACCCATGTGTGTTGATCGCAAAGGCGATCCTGTCAGTGAAGTTGGCCCCACGTGGGAGGCTTTCTGGTCTCTCCGTCCAACGATGGTGGCCGCCAGCGTGGATGGTCGGAGTAGGCTCAATGATCAAGAGATCACCATTGGCAATGTGGAGTGGTCCCACAGAGCATGGCCTGTTGTTGTGACTGCAAATGGTGTAGTTACCGTCACCAGCGATGATGCAGGTGTCATGCGGGATCTGCTTGGGGACTGCTGCAACTCGAACCCAGACTTCGGTTTGGAGTTTCTGGAAAACAACCAGGGCATCATTGGGATGATTGCGGAGCCTCACAGTGAAGAGAGGTCCTGGTGCAATCTTTGGGAGAGCGAATGGGCTCTGGAACACGGTGTAGGTGCCTAGCACCAAAGTGGGTGGCAAGTTGCTCTTGGAGGTCCGCAGCCGGGACAATGGTGTCAAGCTGGACGGTAAGCACGCCAGGTGGATCTTCCCAAAGGAGGGAGACCAATTGCTTGGATCGATTGGTGGCGGGGTGCCAATGAGTGTTGAACTCAAGAAAACGCAGCAGTGCCTGGAAGGCCTCAGGAGCAGGTTGAAACGGTGGTGAAGTCTCAATCGTGATGGGTTGTGAATCCTCGCCTGGCACAGTGAAGGGCAAAGTCGGAGACACGACAGCATCTGATGCAGAACTCTCATGTGGGCACGCGGAGACAGGCCGAAAAGAAACCAGGGGACGGTCCCAAATGAAACATAGGACCTGCGGAGTGACAGCGAAAGCATCCTTCAGTGTAATGTCACTGAGCAGCATGTGGTCCTTAGTGCGAAAGCGAAAGGCTTCAGGCATGATTCCTTTGGTGAACATCGTAAGAATGACAGCGGTGGACAAGGAAGTCTTGGGTGGGACTTTTGCTTGCCATGTCATCTGGTTGTGGCAGTGTTCAATCTCTAGCGAAATCAAAGGACCATCAAAGGACAAAGGCAAGGTCCTTGGTACCATGCAGGCAGCAATGTCCTCGACCCTGCTGATGGTGAGCCACTGTTCGAAGACTTGCACAAGGGCATTCTGACTTGTGAGACGCTGTTCCCACGCCTTTTGAACAAGTTGTACTGGTGCCAGGTCCTCAGCAAGGAGCGCTTGAAACCCAACAGCGAGGCACAAGGTCGCCTGTGATTGAGTGATGGCGTTTCCAAGGATATGGAATGCAAAGGATGCATCACTCGGAAGTACAATCTTGTCTGTAGTGCCGAACAGTGGGACAAACCGTGTAGGGCATAAGAAGCACACTTTATCGGCAACGATCTGCAACGAAGCAAAAATGCCCTTGGCCATGACATGTTCAGCTTGCAAAAGGTGTTGCCTGGTGTATGAACTGCACAAGGTCGGCAAGGGCTGAGTGGTGTCAGCAAGCCTCAGTTGAAGCGTCTCCTGAGTGGAGGTCTCAGCATTGGTCCTGGCACGTTTGGCAGGTGGGAGCAACCCTGGGTTTCCGTATTTCGAAAGTGCCTCCGCTGACAGTTGAAGCTGGCAGTGGAAAGATTCTGGGGTCCAAAATTCATTGGATGGATCATTCCATTTTACCAATGGCGGTGCCCGAAGATCGAAGTTTGCTTCATGGGGTCGAAGGGCTAAATCCACACGAGCCCAAACTGCAAGCCATCTGGAGCGAGAGTTATTGGACAAGTGGTGCATTGCAACAACTTGGTGCCATACCTTACGGTACCCAATAAGATGCAACATGTTCTCCACTAAGGGGAAATGCTCGTGTGAGACTGTGGTATCTGCACACTCCAAAAACAGGAGAAGTGGTTGGTGCACTTCAGCGAGCATGACTGTTTCAGCCATCGCGAAACCGCTGGAACAGCTCAAGCCCTGGCGTTTGCCGCCTTGCGACCACGAAATGCAGGGTGGTGAAGCGGTTGCAACGGAGTTGCTTGCACATTTCCAACAATGCAGGATCGTGGGATCATCAACGCTCGTACACAGGCCAGCTTTGGCAGCTAAGTTCACCTGTCCAGCACTCACTGATTTGCCTTTGTGGTATCGCAATCCTGTCTGGTAGGACCACACATCCATCACCTTGTCATCGTTGTCCACAAAAAGCTCGGTGGCAATGCTGATGTGCGGAACCTCTCTGGCAAGCCAGTGCATAGCCCGGGACCAGCCACCGAATCCTCCTGCAAATAAGTGCAGCACATGAAAAGGTTCATGCGGCTTGAAATGAGCACGGGGAATAATGATGGTGTCCTCCGCCAATGCAAGAGCATCCCAACACTCTATGTGCGGATTTGTTTCCCATGGCAAACAATCTCATCATCCACAACGGGCAAAGCTGATCTCCGGCTCAGCCCAGGCACATAGATTCGAATCTTGTTTTGTCCCACCGTAGGTTCAGCAAATCCACGGCCCGGACAAAATTCCAGAGGTGCAATCTCAATCACCGCATCTGTCACAGCTTCGACCTTTCCAACAAGGAGGATCCTATCACCCACATGCAGCAGGTGACCAGCTGAACGATGAGCCTCCAAAAAGGAAATCAATCGGCCTCTCCAAGGGTCCTCCAGGTGCTCAGCGCCCTGCAGCAAATGGTCAAAAGATCCAGCCATGGCGCAAACGGGCGTGAGGCACAACAAAGCTCACAGGCGAGTCGGCCAACGGCCTTGGTGGACGCTCCACCCCTGTCGGGAGACAGGCAGCAGAGCCGCGGGAACCCGGCGTGCCCTAAGGCAAATGGCTTTGGGCCAAGATGCCCATTGTAAAGCCTTTTCATATGGGGGGTTATCAACAGTCGACTCACTTCGTGCACAGCACCATGCATGCAAATCCACTGCAGAGAAGGCGCTCATCGTTGAGAACGGAAGGAAAGGGCGGGGCGTTGGGAAGGCATTTGTCGAGAAAGAAAAATAAACCCAGACCATCCACAGGACTGAAGAGTTAAATATCAATTTGCCCTAACGCCAAGAAGAAATCATTCCTTATTGAAGGTCCATCTACTTCCACTTGGATTTGGTGGTTGGGGCCCTAGGGCCTGGCCATCTTGGTTTTGCTTGCGGTGAAGTTCTTTTTTCCCCCTGTCAGTACCCTTCCGTTTGAGGGTATGTCTTATTAATGCACCTCACTGCACCAGTTTTCCATCCAACCCCAATTGCTCAGTGACTGCGCAGGTATTTGGCGGTTGGGAGCCTCAAAAAGTGTTCAGCACCGAGGATGTGACTCCAACGTAAAAAGATTCGAAGTCCCAGTCAGGCAGACATCGCGGTTTGCATAAAACACACCACAATAAGGAAACCACATGAGACAGCACAGCTATTCCCCCTACATGTCCAAAGACCCAGTAAAACCTGACTCAGTATTGAGTAATGTTTCTGTACATGACCAGCTTGGTCAAATGAGGTCTTTGACCTGTAGGGATTGTATGCTATTCTTCTTGTCCATTTGTCAGGTGATATGTCGTCCTTACTAGTTTTGATAGCAACACGTGGTGCCATGGTCGGACGACCTACCAATGGATCGACCCACCGATCGCCGCTCACATCGTTTTTGCCGTCATGGTCATGGTCCAGGGAACTATCCATCCCCAGCAGCTATCTATCAATTCATGGACGAAATCTTTAGCCATCACCTGGGGGGAGGGGCAGATGGCAGATGTTTCCATTCAAAGTCTTTGAATCGGTCAACCGATCGGTGAATCCCTGTGCCATGGTTGAAACGGGGAAGGAGACGTGCTGGTTGAAACGGGGTCGACCGATCGGTCAGTTTGAAGCCGTAGCTGTGTCATAGGTACGTGTCATTGTTTACGTGGAATGACGCTTAAGTGGAACTGATTCTATTTCGTGGACTTGGCATTGGGCTCCACATCAATGCGCCCATCACCTGGTTTCGAATGGAGCCCAAAGCCATGCGCCTCGACCCCCGCGATTTACGCGGCCCCTTAAGGTTCCTATAAGGCAAATCCACTTCTGGTGGAATAGATGTCTTTTGTTCCCAGTTCCTTACAAGCAACTCCAACCATCCCTTCCCCTTCATCCCCGAATCCACCCCGAGCTCATCCCCGGTCGACCGGTGGGCTTGGCGCGGCGCACCCGCGCTTCACCGGCGCCCGCAGCAGGTCTGCTGGTGCGAGCGGAGTATCTCCACCGCAGAGGTGGCGCGGCTGAACGCGCAGCAGTCCTTTGAGGCAACGGCTCAGTCAGTCGGGGACGGCGGTGACGTGGCGACGGCGAGTCGGTGAAGTGAGGTGAGGGTGCTGGTAGAGCTGGAGACGACAGGAGTGTGGACTGGATGATGGTGGAAGTATTCAGGTTGGAGACCCACACGGTCTAGCCTCACTACCAAGTCATTTTAATTGAGAGCTCTTCAGGCGCAAGAAGCCTTTTTGTGGCAGAGGTGACTGAGGGTGCTGGCGGAGGTTTGGGATGTATATTTTTCAGTGTTTTGAAATCTTTGGAACTTTTGAGAGCCTTCTGCAGCGCTCGGACACTCTTCTTCCAAAAAGCAGGATGAGGAAGGGTGCCATATAAGCTTCCCGTTGCAGCAAGACACACTCACGAGACACGTGAGTGTGTCGTACTGGGGTGCTGGACCGGTGCGATTGCGACCGGTGCGACCGCGAAGACGTCCTCGTCGGTGGGAGGTACAACAGAAGACGCCGGTGCGAGTGCTGCACCGGCGCGTGCGGAAGCCCGAACATTCGACGTTGGAGTTTGTTGTTGTGTTTTCTCAGGGAAAGCATTTACTTGGGAATCCCAGGGATAGATGTTGACTGTTGATTAAATCAAAAACACACCGTTTGGATTGTTTGCTGTATGAATCTGTATAATTAACCTCCTTTGAAGGGGTTATTCATCAAGATTCTATATGGGTGTTTGTTGACTGTTGTTATAACAGGTATATAACCCCTAGGACTCTGGAGATGATTAAAGCCAAAAGACAGGATTTTACAGTACGATGTCTTACCATCTAGCTCAGGTGTATTCTTGATCAAAAGTTAACATTTGATCCCCCCCAGCCAGACTCAAAGGACAAGCAAATTTCAAAATTGGGTGGTTCATGTAGCTTTGACATTAACATTGGAGCCAGGAGTTCTGTTGTTGTTGTGTATATTCCCTCCGTTCATCCATGGAATCCATGTTTTTGGTGTCAGCATGGCATCCAAGGTAGTAAGATGCTTTCAGGATTTGTACTAGAAGCACCCAGACAGTCGACGACCGAGAAGTAACCAAGACAAGCACAGAAGCAACCTGTGGGATGATCCTATAGGAGTATGTTCCTCAAAGCGATTGACGATCCGACAAATATATCATTGACGTTTCAGAAGATTAAGAGTCAGGCTCTCAATCGAGTCGTCTTGCAGTCTTGCAGCGCAGCACTGGGTTCTTCTTACTGATGGATCACACGGATCACAGCGTGTGTGAGCGCTCAACCTACCCGCGAACAGTGGAGAATTTGCACAACCTTTTTGGGGGAGTTTGGGACACTCCACTCAAAATCCAGCAGGTGGCAAGTCATGGATCTCATCGGGAGAATGACAGAGGATGGGATCAGGGTGGCCTGGCCTCTTGAAGAAGAGCACTTGAAGAAGGCCCTCACCACACATTTGAGTCAAAGGCCCCACAGAGACCTGGTTTTGCTTAGGTATAGCTTAAGGTGATTTGTGTTAGTTTCCTAATTGAGGTTATATAAATCCCCTCCATTCTGATGAAATTTTAGACGTTGTCCGTTGTCCCGTTCTTTTTTTGTAAGCGATATGTCCATTGGAGTCATGGACCTACGTACCGGCAAGCGCCGAGCCGCCCGAGGCTTTGGCCACCAGACCTCGAACGGTCTATTCCTTGAACCTCGAGGTCGACAGCCACCGGGCGAAAGGGGCGAAAGGGACGCCACTGGATCGGCTGGGGGAAGGAAGAGATGGAGATCTGATGGCCGCCTGGCGCCCGGCCCAGTTGCAAGAGCTACGCGCTTCCGTGCTATGCCATGCCGCCCGTGTGCGTGTGTGTGGGCGCACGCTTGGACGCTCGCGCATTTTGGGAGGTCATCAATCCGCACTACTTCAAGCTGAAGGTGTGCGCGCAGGTGGGCGCAACGGCATGAGTCGACCCCCACACTGCGAGAGTTCTAGACACAATGAAGTGAGTTGTTATTTGCCTTGTTCTTTTCATGTGTGTAGTTGTGTCATGTTGTGTCACAAGCCACAGTTGGAGACCATCCCTGGACAAGAAAAAATGAACATGAATACATAATATGAATTCACTTGACACTGTATAGTGTTCGTTTTGTTGAAGCTTGGGATCTCCTTGGAAGTATTGCTACTCGTCTTTGTCGGATTCCATGGGAGACCGGAGACAGCGGAGTCGGTCGGGCGACCCCGATGAGTTGGCCGGCGGTGTTTGTTCTGCCAATCGGTCTTTGAGGGAGAGGTCTTCCTAACAAGGGAGAGGTCGTTGGGATGTTTTCGTTTGGAGTGAAACCAAAAGTGCAGCAGCCAATACCTTGTATGCCCACGGTCGGGTTGCATCATGTACTTGGAGTGTGTTTTCAGGTCTGTTAAAGGATTCTTCCCCGCTTTGACAGGCTCTGTTTGCTAGCAATGAACTGTATTTGCCAGGCTGGTATGTACATCAAGGACTGCGCCGGAGTCGGAGAGTCGGGGCATCTCAACACAAAAGGTACCCAACAATATGTCAACATGTTTGAGCATGTGATCAACGAATCCGGCAAAAAAAGCATAAAAAGTTCTTGTAATCCATGTACCCATCAACAAAGAGCTGTTCAATCCCTGTCAGCAGCGGTGCTGTCTCGACACGTTTTCACGCCCCTTTTCAGATCGGTGAAAGGTCGGGTGAAGGTCAGGGACCCGTGCCGCAGACGTGCCGCAGACGGAATGTGGGAAGGGTGGGAAAGTGAAGGAGAAACTAATTAGGCCAACCGGTGCTTTGCCAGTTCCCCTGAAGGTTTTTCAGATGGTCAAGCGTGGTCGGTTGACCATGTTGAAGTAGTCTATTCCGTTCGATGGTCAAGCCGGGTGGCCTGGCTGAAAAACTGCTATATGCGAGCAGCCCGGTGGGTCACAGCTTCCACTAGCTTTTTGGTGCAAAAAACGACCCATCGCACTACATCGGCGGGCTACAACAGGAACAACACCCTCACGGCCACCCTACTATGTGCCCTTGTCAGAGACGTCAGAGTGCTGTCCTTGCCCGCCTGGCAACCAAACGGCTCCGCAATGCACACATCTGGATCGCTGCATGCCCACCGGCCATCCGGAGCAGACAGAACAGGACCGACCTGGCGCACCATCCGGTCGGACTCCACTCACCAGCAGGTGAAAGCATGGTTGAATGGCATGGAGAAAAGCATGAACAGCATCTGCAGTCAAGGCGTCCGCTTGCCGAAGCAGCGTCAAAAACGCTTGGAGAAAGCACCCAGTGGCGTTCCTGATGTTCCTGGTTTTTAGTTTATAATCTTTCTAGGTCCGAAAGCCTGATGCCAGTGGCATGCGCCCAAATACTCTGGTGAATTGTGACCTGAGCCGTTCCTGGTCGTTCCTGTGTCCATGTATTTTTGGGGTGACCTTTCCGTTTTGCTTCCTGTCAAATTCCTGGCGCCATTTGGGTGCATTTGGTTTCAATGTGAACTATTTTTTCAAAGGAAAGGGCTGTCTCTCCATTTGCATGTCTTTCCATGTGCTGCTGCTCTCTCATTCGCTTTTTCCTCGCCTGCTTTTGGACCCATGTGTGTTTTTGAATGTTTTTGACTTGCCTTGGCCCGCTGTGCGCAAGTTGTGGTTATTATATGTATATATCTATTATCTTCCGTATATACCATATAGCAGCCGCGCCTTTTTGGTTGTGGCCCCATCCCTGCTTTCCCGTGCCATTTGCAGGAGTGGCCGCGCCTACCCCGTTTGTGACTTACAAAGTTATTAACTTGTGGGGATGTATTACATGATGGAAAAGCCATGTATTTGATGAAGAGCGGAGGTGTTGTTAACTCCGCCCTCGCACCTGCACTTTTAGCGTTGTATCGGGATTGCTTCCAAACGGTGCCCGCGCAGGAGCGCCATGTAATGTCCTTGCGCGGGCTTGCTGTACTGCAGTTGTTGGGATAGCACTGCACCAAGTAAGTGATTCTGCAGCGCCAAACAAGGCCCTGAAACATTGAGAAAAGAAACTTTGGTGTGTGGAGGGCCCTCGAATCATACAGATTCTATTCATATAGCTTTCTTCAGTTCCTTGCTGTTGATTATACCCTTTTTAACTGGTCCAGCTTGGCTCCAACTACTCAGTTCCAACCACATGTAATCATATTCCGACTTACTTCACGTGTGTCACAATCAATTCCTGTTACCCAGAAGCCAATCCGTGACACCTATTTTCAGACCCACGGCATCCCACGGCCGACGCCAGGAGTTTGTCCACGGAGATCTGGGGAGGACGAGGCCCTCGATGCGGAGCTTCCTCAACGGCCAGGCGAGGTCCCACGGTGGAGATGGTCCCACGGGTCCCAAGAGGGAGGTTGTCATAGGTGCGATCGGACGCTACTAGGGTGTCCGGAAAAAAGACATCAATAGAGAACTTTTTTTGGTTGGAGCACGTGGTGGAAGCATGCGGCCCTTGTCAGGGATCGATATCATTTTGTCCAAGTTTGTGTTGATTCTATGTTGGGGCTCTCCTATCGAATCAACATCCGGAGGACATTTAGATGCTGTAACTACCATCACCTTTCTTGGTGGGCGCTTGACGCATTGGATCCCTTGTTTCCTCCGGTCGGTTCGTCCACAGCCAAAAACAGTGAGTACCCTGCGCCACTTGGATTCCGAACCTCAAAAGCACGAGCGTGTGTCAACCCAAAACGCCATGTTTAGAGCCTTTGGTGGGTCGTCAGTGAGCAGTACTTCTACATGGGCTGTTTCCTTAGCACCACGCGTACTGTACGGGGCAGCATTGAGCCCGATTAGGATCCGGGAGCATCTTGAAAATGTCCTTTACCCCTCAAGACTATTCTCTACAAGTACTTTGACCTCTCAAAGCATTCTCAGTAGGTACCTGGACTATATCAGATGGTAATTCAAGTTCCCAGCAGACCTACGAGGAAGAAAGACACATCCACATTCCATCGGTGTCTATCCTGACAGCTGATTGCCAGTCCTGTGTGTGTGGTGATAGATCTTGATTCATCATTTCGATAGGGACAGAAACATGTTTTTTGACTGGGAAACAGCACGTTATATAATAAAGGATTACAGACACAGCTCCCTGATGCTTGGAATGGAACCAGTTGTTCTTGAAATCAGGATTCACACTAGGTCCTGACTCAGTTGTTCAATGCTGCTTTTGGTGTTTTTTTAGTTTTATTTTTTTCCGAGCCCACGGCCGCACACAACTGCTGATGATTTTGTTGTTTTGTTTGGAGTAGTGGGATGGTGATAGACGTTTAAGCCCCATAGATTGGAAGAGGTTTCATCATCCATATCTGGGGTGAGTGATGAATCAAGGTACATTGGAAAACATACATCGTGCATTGCTGCATATCATATATTAAGTTCGAATGGGTCACACGCCATGCATCCTCTACAAGGTAAGACACCTCAAAACATCCTTCTCGAGGTGGGCTGGGCTCTTTCAGCCTGGTGAAGACTGGTGGGCTCTTTGATTTGTCCATGCAATAGTGAAGACTGCATATAGTGCCAAGGACTGCATGTTGTGTCAGCTGACTTGTTTTGTGTCAGTTTTGTGCTTCGGAGCAGCCCATCTGAGAAAATAGAAGAGCTATGACAACTCACGACCTTCAAACATGGCAAAGAGAGTGGCCATTTGAAGTGGAAAGGTCTGTAAGTCGAGTTCTTTGCACCATCATCCATCACCCCTCGAATGTTGACCCAACTCGAGTTGAATGGTGGCTCCTCCTGGTGTCTTATTTTTGGTCCCTCCCTCCCTGGAGGTGACGCACCAGTCCCCTCCTGGTGTCCTCCTGGTGGTCCCTCCCTCGAGATCCGCATCTGATCCCTCGCCCATAAATCGCCTCGACAGGTGGAGATCCTCCAGTTGGATGTGGAGGGTGTTGAGGAGTTACTCCATCAGCAGTGTATTTGGCTGGGAGCTGGTGAAAGCCAAACAAATCCTGCAGGTTCAAATTTGGCATATGGTATATGTTATTCTATATTTGATAGCCCCTTCAGATCAAAATCCTTGGCACAGGGGACTGTCAACTGAAGAGTTGTTTTTTCCGTGGAGCCCCCCTCACTTGGCCGTGTTCTTCTGAAGAAAATAGCTTTCAGGTTCAATCTTCGGTGATACCTGGATTCGGGTCAAAAGGCCAATGTGCCAACACCACCTCCCTTTAGATGGAAGGCGACAGATTGGTCCAGACGTCCCGATGGGTATTCTCACGCAGGCAGGCAGGCAGGCAGGCAGGCAGGCGCAGGCCCGCGGCGCAGCCATGCCCAATTGATTCCACCAAATTTGCGACAACATCGCGCTGTTTCTTGTTGTTGGTTTGTACAGGCAAAAGACAATGTCGTCACTTTTTTTGAGTGATTGCTACCCTGCCTTGGGGGGAAGTCGCTGCGGAAAGTCGTCTCTTTTTTCTGAAACACAAGCGAACTCTGTTGGTTGGAAAGGGACCGACTTTTAGGTTGTATGCTGGGGCTCTCATCGAAAGGTGTTTTAATAATGCCTGCTGAAGCAATGAATTTCTTATTCTGTAGTGGGTCCTGCAAGCAGTCCACGAGGAATTTTCCACACACATGCGAGACAAGTACAGCAAGCAACACAGTCATTTCCAGGCTTGCCAGTGCAGTTCGCACAGTTCGCAAGCAACACGGTTGCTGTGCTGCAGCTGCTGCTTTGCTGTTGCTGCCACTGCTGCCGCCGCCGCCGCTGCTGCTGCTGTTGCTCGTTGGCTGCTGCTGCTGCTACCTTTTTGCTTTGCTGCTGCTGCTGCTGGCTGCTTGCTTCTGCTCAGAATCTTCCAACCCTCTACCTTTCGTCCACCTCCGTCACCTCAAGTCGAGTCATCTGATGTGGTGGCAGAATTTCTACAGCGTTCCATTGTAATTGACACGCAGGAAGCGGATGTAAATCAATCAAACCCACACTCTTTTGGAACTAGCGTTCCACTGGTCTTTGCACTCTTTGGGTCGGCTTTTTTGGTGACAAACCCTTGTTTGGGTATTAGCGTTCCATTGGGGTTGGCTCCTGGGGGTGACTGGGGGATGACTTTTTGGAAACAGCGTTGCCATGGAGATTTGGCATTGAAACAGTGATGACTGAGGGATGACTTTGTCAGGTTCCTGTAAGCAGGAACCAAGGGTCTTGGTGGCTCACTGTGGCTTGCGCAGGCTTTTGGTGTATGTGTCAATACATAGGTTGCTTGCTGCCTTGGCTTTCATGCACTCATGACTTGCTGCCTCCGCCTCACCTCGTCTATTTGTGGCGCCCATGGCACTTGGGTTTCCTTTTGTCACACTTGTGCCGCACTTGGAGCCTCCTTATAGGCCATTCGGCACGAGTGATCATGGCTCGCCTCAGCAACGGCTTTCCGATTGCTGATTTGGTGAAGAAGCCTGGCCAGCATTGTCGACGGGGCTGGTCAGCGTCCACCAGGAGCTCCACGGTGGACCTACTACCTGCCATGGCGGCCAGTCGCTCGCCGGCTCGCCGCGCGGGGGGTTGGTCGGCTCCGCCTCAAGCCTTTCCGTGGCGAGGTTGGTAAGACTGAGGAATGGAACGAACAGCAAGAAGTTTGGTGAAACTGGGACCGAAAGAGATCTTGAACGGTGTGTTCGCGGAGCTGTCGACAAAGGAGCTGTATGTTGCTCAGTGAAGAGGAAGAGATTGGCTGCACTGAAGACAAAGGTCCAAACGGAACACGCTGTGGCCACAAGCGCGTGGCTTCGCTCCACAGTGCGCTTCAGTCACTGGGCTGTCGCTTATATGCCATGATCTTAGGTGTTGTCCACTGCTTATGGTAAATACATGTGAAAAAATGTTCCGAGCAAAACGACACAAAAACAGCAGCAAGGCTGGCAGCCGCTATAGGCTTGGCGCAACATGTGAAGCACATTCCAGATTTTTTGCAGCTACAGGTGGTGACCACACACTTACGCACGGAGATGCGCGACCTCACTCGTGAACACTTCCAGGGGACTCACTCAGCGAGACTCGCTGTCCACATTCGTTCTTCATCCCGCCACCGCTAGCTTGCACCACGGTGCGGCCCACGACGGCCGACAGTCAAGATGCTGAAGATGCCAGTAAAACACTGAATAATTTGCAGTAAAAAAACAAAAACTTAGAAACCAAACAACAAAACCTTGGGAAAACCAAAAAACACAAAAACACCAATTCTCAGAGACTCTTGGCTGGACTCAAGACTTCCCCAGAATTGTCTTTTTCCCAAGTTTTTTGTGTTTTTGTTTTTTTTCCTAGGTTGTTATTGGTTTTCTCAAGGTTTTCTGTTTTTCCCCAAACAGTGTGGGCACACTGAGGGGTTCTTACGGTAGGGGAAAGGAAGCTGATGCTTAGATCGCTGAAGCGCGCGGGCGTGAACGGCTAATTCGTTGCTATTTACAGCTCTCGAAGTCCTCCAAATGCATTTCGACTGCGCGGGCTCGCAGAATCCCACCCCACACCCCTTATCAGTCTCTACTTCTCTTTGATACGTAGTTCTTACAAGCTTGACGTGTGGGGTTATCCGGTCCTTTTATTTTGAGGAACAGCCCCGCATGACAAATTTGTTCTACCAAAATTGGATTCGGTGTGCGTGCTGGGAGTCCGTTCTTGTGCTACCGCCATTAGACTCAAACTTTTGAAACCTGCAGACTCCTGGAGACGGCTTGATTGGAGTGCCATGGCCATCGCTCTGAAGAAGCGGCGCACGTCTGGCCAGAGCCAGGCGTCGGAGGTGCCGGTGACGGTGGCATCGCTGTCCGAGGCGCACGGCTGTGCCAATGGGGCATTGTGTGGCGCTGTGGAGGTGACCATCGTGCATTGCAGCGAGCTTCGCAGCAACAAGGTGGCCGATTGTTTGGTTGCGGATGGGGGCGCTCTTAAATTATCATGAACATGAAGAGGTGGCATGGCATGGTGCACCGTTGGTTGAATTTGTTTCGGGGCTGTGATGGCAACGTGGCACAAAGTGTGTGTGAGCAAAATTATTTGTTTGACCTGAACACCGTTCGGTGTTTTGGGTGAGGTTGTGGCGAGAGCTAGCGGTGCAGGAAACCAAGCGATTGGTGCGGATTCTTGAAGTGGAGGGACCGTTCGCGGTCCGTTTGAGCGGGTTCAGACTTTGTAACCCCAGGCCGCCGGTGGTGCCCCGCCTGCAGATGATGGTGCTTCACTCCACGCCAGCTGCAACAATCGAAGTTCTTCGCGATCCCAACCGTGCGAATCCTCAGATTCAACCGGTTCTTGCCAACTACAAGGCCAACTTTCACGACCTCATTGGTGTTGAGGGGACGGTCAACATCGTTGGCAAAATTCAGGAGAAGGCTGAGGTGACCATGAGTACGAGGGGCAATGCCAAGATGTCGATGTCTGTGGTCGATGGCAATGGCTACTGTTTGCAGTTGATCATCGTGGGAGTGAATGTGGAAGAAGCAAGTGAGATGGCAGTCGACGCCCGCGTTCTAGTATTCAACGGGCAATTGGTGCAGGCCGGTGTGTGTCTGTGTGTGTGCGTGATGGATCGTGATGGATGACAGTCGGATAGGGAGACAATTCGATGTTTCGGTTTAAAATTTAAGTAAAGAACAAGCAGGCCACAATGATTGAATAATAACGGGGAGCGCAATGGTTAATGATGGGTCACCAGTCTCACACACTGTTTATAAAATGTTGTGCCGTATGCATGGCGACGCAGTCCACAATGTTGTTGTGACATGTCCATGAATCATGGCTGTTAGAAAATGGGGTGGGCATTGACAAAGCAACACGTGTTCAGCATGGACGTCAACTTGAGGGCTGCTACGCCAAGAAAGCATGGACCCGAAATATGCGTTTATTGTGGGGCTCCCAGGGTCACATGTTGAGCGTATGTGGGGAGTTCATTGGTGTACCCCGGTAAGCTTGTCGTGCTATGTTGTACTTGCGCGTGCTGACGCTTCCATTTTGAGCCCCTGTCAAAAGTATACTTTTCGTGGGGGCCCAAAATTTCTACTTGCATCCGTTGATTGGTGCATGAACTGTCATACGTTGTCGCACTATGTTGTACTTGCGTGTGCTGGCGCTTGCATTTTGAGCCCCTGTAAAAAGTATACTTTTCGGGGGGGCTCAAAATCTTTACTTTGCATCCGTTGATTTGTGCGTGCATTGTCGTAGTATGTTGTACTTGCGTGTGCTGAAGCTTGCATTTTGAGCCCCTGCAAAAAGTATACTTATCGTGGGGGCTCAAAATTTCTACTTTGCATCCGTTGATTGGTGCATGAACTGTCATTCGATGTTGTACTTGCGTGTGCTGAAGCTTGCATTTTGAGCCCCTGTAAAAAGTATACTTTTTTTGGGGGGGTCAAAACCTTTACTTTGCATTCGTTGATTGGTGCATGAACTGTCATACGTTGTCGTACTATGTTGTACTTGCGTGTGCTGAAGCTGGCATTTTGAGCCCCTGTAAAAAGTATACTTTTCGGGGGGGCTCAAAATCTCTACTTTGCATACGTTGATTTGTGCGTGCATTGTCGTGCTACGTTGTACTTGCGTGTGCTGAAGCTTCCATTTTGAGCCCCTGTAAAAAGTATACTTTTCGTGGGGGCTCAAAAGCTCTCCTTGCGGCCGTTGGTATGCGTGTAAGAATTGTCACGCAGTCCTGCCTTTGCAGTTGCTCACACTTCATATCTGTTGTTGCCCGTCGAGGATATGTGACCAAAGAAGCCTGCCACAAAAACCGTCAAGCGCTTCCAAGTGTCAAACGCTGATGTGGGCAATATTGTGAATAAACTTCAATGGTCATCAGATCCAGGCCGTTCATTCTTGGGCCCACGCGTTGCAGACACTTTCAGAGGCACGCAGCCAATCAGCTGCCCCCGACAACAGTACCAGGACGGGCTTATGAGGAGATGTTGGATTCACGTTAGCTCCCCAGGGTCATATGAAACTATGTGGGGGGCCTTAGCGGGGCAGACTCAGAATGCGTTGCAGCGGAGATGATGGGTTTATGCTAATTAACTTCGTTGAAAGTGGGGGGGCAGACATGCAGAGCGATGGCGCAAATGCTAGACGCTGAGTTGTGTGTCAGCAGCCCGAAACGCTATGCGCAGCTGTGGCAGGCTGAAGGTGAAGGACGCCTCATGGTGTATGACTCCAGCTACATCGTGGTGTTTCCGCAGGTTCTTTGGGAGTCGGGTTGGAAGAGGGGGAGAGAAAAATGATTTGGAGCACCGGGTTCATTTGGGCACTTTCGCAGCCAAGACCATAGGGATAAAACACATATGGAAATTCCATGCGTTTGTCGGCGTAGATCTCATTGGATGGTTCAAGGGGTTTCATGGAGTGATCGCGAGGCCGAGCAGATCCAGGAGGAGGTTGGTGACACTCGCCAAGGAGGAGAAGAAGAAAACGGAGGCCACACTGCCCAAGAAAGAGAAGATGGAAGCGGAGGCGAGTGAGTCCAAATGAGTGTTGCCATTTGCGCGCAGAAGTTGCGCCCATCGTTTTTGGAACAGTGGTGAAAGAGTTGTGGGCTTGGACTGCTCACCAAACAAGTGTATATATATATGGTTAGATATAGGGATTTTGAAAATGCAGAATCTCTACTGTTTAGCAAGGCTGCCATCTCTTGCCACACAAGTTGCTTGGGCTGGGCCCGGAGAATGGTTGCGCTCTGTGGGTCATACCAGTGGCCCCTGGATTTTTTTGGGATAGGCTGAGGCGTGACCGTGCAGAAGCCATGCCTGCTTGTCCTGGGTGGCAAAATGGGTTTGTGATTGTGGTTGCGGTTGTTATTGTTGTTATTATTGTTGGCGTTGTTGTTGTTGTTGTCGTTGTGGTTGTGGTTGTTGTTGTTGTTGTTGACAGCAGGTGCGCGCGCGTGATGGCAAGGATTTGGAAGAAATTGATCAGAGTTTCTTGCCAACTGGGTGGCCCTGTCCCCCCCCGTGCTGGGGGTGTTGGACACCGCTCGAGAAGCTTTCACCGAAGCGCAGGAGGAAGCCTTGCAGCATCTGGTGGTAGCTCTTAACTGGCTCACGCTGGGACAGACTTCCTTTCCGCCTGAGAGTGCTCGCAAGGGCTTTCCGATGAGCCAGCAGCAAATGGACATGCTGGATTACCTTGACGGCCTCGTGGATCACTTCCTACGAGCCGGTGAGGTTAGTTCCGAGAGCCTGGGCAGAAAACGTCTTTACCCGAATACACGTCTTTTCCCGTCCTATACACGTCTTTTCCATCCAACACACATCTTTCCCCGTCCACTAGCCTACAGTTACGAAGCTGATGAATCGGTGGTGGGACATGTTAGCAGGGAGTGGGCTCAAGAACTGCAAGCCACAGAGTGCTAGGCTGGCTCCGTATCAAACTGAAATAGGAGATTCGGAAGTTCAGCTGGAAGCGCAGGCTCCGGCGCAAGTGACAAGCAGGGCCTTCTTGTGTGACCATACCCACAGAATTGTATAATTTTGTTTTCAAGTGCACAGGTTTCTTTTCAGTACACGGAAATCTCCTCCAAAATCAAAGGTGCATTTTCTCCAATGAAGATGCAGGTATATATAATTTCAATGTTTTTGCTTTGAGTCGCAAGGGAGTGGAACCTTTGAGCATGGGCATAGTGCAGCTCATTGTTCCACGCACCCGGGGCGTGAGCGCAGGAGGCGGAAGACTGACCACGGCCTCCACGCCTCAAGACCGAGCTGAATCACGTCGTCCAATTGGTGCGCGGCATGGCACGCGGCGAAGGCATGGAGAGGGCACTGGGAGCATGATGAGGACGCTGCAGTTACTCTAAGTGTCAAAATGGGTTTTGATACATTGGGTCAAGTACATCTACAGTATGCTTCTAGTTGCTTATATAGGTACTTTAAACATTTTAAAACATTTTGTTGACTTGATTTGAGCCAAGCAGTTCTCCCGTCATAAATTGCGACACAGGGCGGATTGCTGACTGTGTTGAGTGCCCGCAACAACTGTGTCGTGGCAACGGAGTATTTCAGGTGCCTTTGGTCCAGTTGGCTTTTTTAATGTTGCAGCAGTACATCAGACAACTTTATCTACTGTATGGCCTTGGGGCCAATAGTGCGGCATTTTGCTTGACGGCGTTTCCAGGTTGCAAGAGACAAGTCCGATCGACTTCAAGTCCTGCTTTCACGCCCAGAAATTCAATCCTTCTTGCAGTTTTTGGGCAAGTTGCCACTAGCCGACCGTGGCACTGCCTGGATGATGTTACATTTGTAGAGCTTCCGGCAGGGCGAAAAAATGGTTCTGGAAGGCCTACGTGCAATGCGTGAAGCGATTGAATTGAGGCTTCGACTGAAGGACGACCTGGCAGGAATGCTGCTGACCACCTCCAACTCCAGCCCAAAGGCGGCAGCTCTTCCAACTCCGGCAACTCCAAGGAGGTCGCTAGATGCTCTACTAGCCACGGCAGTGTCAAAGAGTGCTCCTGGACAGCCTGGCATGTGGGCAGCCGAGCCTGAGGCTGTGCAGGCTGTCCAGGACCAGCCATCCAGCAATGTCGGTTGCGGCTTTGCAGGATGAGATTGAGCCGCAGCAGGATGTCAGGAGTGCTCAGGCTGATGTCCTTGAGCGCATGATTTGCAAAGACTCTACGCAGAACTCATCTTTGAATACAGCACAGCCTTGTGGCCATGTCTTCCACACCGAATGCCTCTTGAAGTGGAGGCGTATTTGTGGAATCCAAGACTTGACATGGTGCCCAATTCGTTGTCAGAGATTCACTGCAGCTGCTGGGCAAAGTAGAGCAGAGGATTCTGATGATTTCGAGGTGATTGAGGTGTGCCGGTGCAAGTTAGAGAACCAGATCGAGGCAAGGACTACGTCGGATCTCCCACCGAGCACAGGGCTACGTGCGGGATCTGCTGGTTGGTGTAAAGCCCGGACGAAGTTGATCGAATGGCAAGGTCCCTTGCCAGGGACTTGACATGGTACCACCTCCTGACCCACAGCTGCTGTGACTATGCCGAAATGTTGGTAGAGCAGGTTGTTCCCGACTTGGTATTCCGAGGCCTTGTCCTATAGCGGGTTCATTTCAGATTGTTCCTATGTACTTTGAATCTGGCACGCAGGCCAGTTGACACACTCGCGAGATTTGGCGACGAGATCATCACGCCTACATCCACCCAATTAGCCCAACGTCGGTTGGCACGGCTGAGGCTTGGGGCTGGGGGGGTCTTGATGGGTGACTCATTGAATCATGCGCGGGGTTTCTTTTTGGCAACTACCCTCAGTCGGCGGGAGGCTCAATGTCTGAGAGTTTATTTTGGCGGTGTGGGGCAATGCTTCTGTGACGGATTCCGGTGTGGCTTTGGGTTTGGATTTTGTTGTTTGCTGTCTGCGTCGATTGGCTGTAGTTCTTGGCTTGCGGTCTCCGCTGCGTGTAGCGCATTCGCTCGGCTCGCTCCGTCTGCCAGAATTTTGGTCTCCTTGAATGTTTTGCGTGGCAGAACAAAACATCCTCGAAGTTTTGAGCGAGTCAAAGAATAGAACGGCATTGACAAGGTTGCCCCGCTTAACATGAACAGGCTGAACAGGTGGAAAAGGTTACTAGTTACTCCTTTGCAAAAGTCGGCATGGAACCCAAAAATATTAGTTTGTAGCGGAAAATGTTAGGGCAAGGAAAAGGTCACCCCAAGGAGCGGTACGGGCTATGCGGCCACTCACAAGGCAGACCTCCAACATCCTCCAACCAAGGTTATGGTCTAACTCCTCTCTTCCAGGCGGTGTTTTGGGAGTTCTCCCTATATTTCAATACACACCTCCATGTTGCGGACTCTCTTTCTTCCTAGTGTGTAATGCTTTGAGTGCGCAACCTCCCTGTGAAGGGCTTGGAATATCACCTCCAAAGAACACACCACCATGGGAGTGGAGGAAAAAACACGCCACATTGCAGGAAGCCAGATTCTCGCAGGCCATGCCATCCACTTCCATGTTGACCAGCAAGAGTGCACCTCGAATGCCAAACTACTCTTTGCGCAAAAAATACATCCATCCGACTTGGAACTCATCTCAGCTCAGCAGACTTGGGAGTTGATCGAAAACCGTGTGTAAGGAGTTTTATATAAAACAGCCTTTCAGATGTTGTTAGACCCACCCGCGAAAGATTCGCGATGAGGTTCGCGAAAGTATTTTTCCGCGAAAGGTTTATCGAAGGTCATCGCGTTCATATGTTTTCCTTTCTACCGGACTGACAAAAATTTGAAATCGGTGGGCGGAAGCGTCCCCATATATGTCACAGACTAACGAACCGAAGCCTCAACACTTCCGTGCCCAGCCCTGGCAGCGCGTAAAAGAATTCTCCGATTCCTGTCCCCACTGTCACAGACTATAGCAACCTGAGTAGGCGCAGCCCTGACAGTGAGGCAACGACCTGCAGCTGCTCTGACGGGCTGTGCAGATGTTTGCAAATGTTACGGCTTCCCGGGGAAAGCGCCAGTGAAATTTCGTGAAAGATCCGCGAAGAGTTTGATTGTTTTCGAGCCGGGTCTGTTTTTGATTGGGCTGAGACAACGTAATGCACTTGCATTATCATCTAACTAACTATAAATCCATTTTCTATTTATAAACAAACAACCTATGTTCTGAAGAGGCTTAAAGTTGTTGGTTGAAAGTAGTTCTTTTGTAGAGGGGTAAGTCAAGTTCTTTTTTCAAGCGTACGAATTGCGCGACATGAGCTCAAAAGCAGGTCTATTTTTGTAGAGGAGCCAGCTAAGTTTTTCAGTTGATAATTAACATAAACGTTGGGTAGGAACATTTTTCATTGAAGGTGGTTTAAAAGCTTTTTGGTTTAGATTCTAGGTCTTCGTAAGGGGTGCCCTTTGTGCGAACATTTTTTCATCAGGATGTTGTAAAGAATTGGATTGTTTCAAGCCAGGTTCAAGTTTTGATTTAGCTGAGACAATGTAATACATTAGTTTAAACTTGTTTAACAATAGGAAACGACCTTTTACAGAGGTTTAAAGTAGGTTAGTTTAATATTGTAGAAGAGTGTATTATTGTATTGACAGTATATAGTTTATAGTTGACACTGTGAAGTTCACATTTTGCTGTTGCAAAATTGTGTACATAGACATAGTTGTATCGTTCTGTTTTTTGCGTACTGAAGAATTGTTTTTTTGACAGTAGTTTAGTATTGTGATGTGAACATTATATATCTCCTCTCCGAAATCGAAACCGCTTTGGTTTGTTGCTTTTGGTGGCTTACTTGATTTCACTTCCGCGCCACGGCAACGCGCTCCCATCCAGGCGTGCCATGCGACTGACCGCAGCATGGCGGTGACCCTGTCGACCGGAGGAGCAGGTGGCCGACAGGGCCGACCGATGCAGCGGAAAAAAAGGTGCGGAAGGTTTGTGCATTTGTGAGTGAGGCGATGCTGCCCCAAGTGCTGTATGTCCCACCGCAGATGTAATTAGTTGATTGTTCAAAATGATTTTTGTAGTACTTGTACCAAAGTTTGATAAGAAGGTGAAAACGATGTGTGCACCCTTCAAATTGAACTGCTAACGTTGGAAAGATCCTGCCAATACTTGAGCAACAAAGGGCCAAGACCACTAGAAATGTAGTGATCTGAGTGATCTACGGTTGCAGCAGGCAGTTCACACCCTTTTGTCGTGACCACTTCTAGGATTAACATGTCCAAATATTCATTTTGAGATGAAGCATTGTGACTTGCCAGAATATGGAAGTGTACATCTACCATGTTTGTACAGCAATGTAGTTTTCCTAGGGATGAATTTCCACATCCTTGTTAGTTGGCCAGCCTGAGTATGCATGCGTTTGGCTTTTTCGCAACACCCTCGGAACTCTTGGCAATTGTTCATACAACTATTCATCACCAGTAGATATGAGATATATGAGGCAAAACAAAACCAACCACAAATAGAAGAAACACAATATCATAAACATAGAGCCTTTGCTCACTAGTTTGTTCATGGTTGGGATGTTGACCAGGAGTTGACACGGATCCATGAGCCAATACCGTTTTGCTTGCGGAACACGTGTCTCCCTTTCGGAGCTGAAAGCCCTCAAGTTCAAGCTTGGATCGGTACGAAGTTGAAGAGGACAAAGTGGGGCAATCTGGATGAGTGCTTTCAAAGGTGTTTCATGTTTTCTTGTGGCTAGAATGGTGCTGGATCCCCAGGCCCCAAGCTAGGGGCGTGGCTGAGCTTCCTTTCCTTCAACATCATGGGAAACTTCGGGATTTGGTTGCGTCAAGGCTGAAGCACTTGAAAACCAAATAAGAACCACACATGAGTCTTGAGCATCCATAGGAAGACGATGCTTCAGAATTGCTCGCGTCTTCCTGGTGTTCGGTCGCAAAGTACACAACGGGTCCCTGAAGCGGAGGACGTTCACGTGAGTCAGAGAATGTCTTTGAAGTACTGTTGCTTGATTCCGAATTTCCATAGCGAACAGAATATATATGTCCTCCAAGAATCAAACCCACACACTCCATGTATGCCATATTTGCCGACCAATTGGGGTGGTTTGGGGGGTCAATGTAGGTATATATGGCATACATGGAGTGTCAATATAAATCAACCCCACCGGTTTTACGAAAGCAAACTTCGTGGACTCGTGGGACTGACTATTGGAACCAGGGAGGGACGGTGAGGCTGGGACTCGTTTTCACTTGCTCTCCGTGGTCGG